CTAAAATAATAAACATTTTTTAATTTCTCTTTAAATTAAGGATTTAGAAACAATTTCTATTATTATATATTTTATTCTTAAAAAAGAAATAAAAATAAAGAACTTTTTTCATGATAAGAAAGATAATTAAAATTAAGGTATAATCATAAAATTAGAGTAAGAAAGAATATTTATCTCATTTAAAATATGAAAAAAAATCAATATATTTTAAGATAAATTCTAAATAAGAAAATGTCGATTATTTTGGAACAGAGAGAGTACATTCTAATTTTACTTCATTCGTCCCAAAATAATTGTAGTTTTATGATTTCAAATTTTTCTGAAATTAATTATTATTATTTTTATTTTTCAAGGCAGACATATATTTTTTACTTTAACCTTATTATTATTTATTTATTTTAATTAATAATCTTATCACAAAAAGTCTCTCTTTTTCTTTTATTTTTTTAACATAAATTATCCTTAAATTTTTAATTAAAAAAATTATTTTGAAAAGAGGGAGTACAGATAAAAATTATTTTTTTGAACTAAATAAAAAAAGGAATAATTTTATCCTAATAATGACAATGATATTTTTTAGTTGTTAATCAAAATTAAAATATATAGATTTATTACAAAAATTAAAAATAAAAAGAATAAAGAAAAAATCTCACTTGGAAAGTGAAAATATTGTTAAGATAAACAAATGGCAAAAAAAGAAGAAGACTAACAAAAGTTTATTGGATAGATGAATTTGAAATAATTTTCAAAGTTTATAAATGAATTTGGAAGAAACTAAACTTTCTAAACTAAAATGAAAAGAGAATAATAGTTAGTAGATGAAAAATTAAATTTAGCCCCTTTTTTTTGGTACAATGGTTCTCTCTCCTTTCGCAACAAAGAAAGGGGCACTTAAGGGAAGAAATGGAGAAAGTTACGATCGATTGAGGTGGGATTACATCTTCGTCATAGATCCTGAATCTCAAACTACAATTACTTAATTATTTACAAAAAATATATATAATTATTTATTTAGTAATTATTATAATATGTAAGGGATTTAAAGTTTCCCTTGTATTTTATTTTATTTTTTATTTTTATTTTTTTAATGAAGGCAATTTTTGGGGTATAAGGGGATTGAATCCAACCCATAATGCTGGGAGAGTGCACCATTGTCCAATCGGCCTGTATGGTTAGATGCCCTTGTATTCTAATTAATTAAATTCCTCCTTTTAAAAAATATGTACTATGGTAATGATTCAATAGTTCATAACATTTTGAA